CCGATATCGCCGTTGGAAGACGCTAAATCTCAAGGAGGTTACACGATCGCTCTCCCACGTGTAACGTCACGACACTCTTCAACACTTCTGTTTGGTCTTGAAACTTCTTCTGCGAAATATTAAGTTAAATCAAATTTGACGTAATCCAAAGATCACATGTGATACTCACCACTAAAGTATGCAGTAGATTAAAAATATGCATAAATTTCGGCACATCATCAAATGCGAATGGAATCTGTGCAGAGCAGATTTCCAACACGACATACTTATGCTTGATGTTGGAAAGTCCCACCTCACTGAGTGTCATTCGGTCAGCTAACATAAATCCCGTTGTAAGAGTTCTAATAGTTTAATGATGTACGTACCAAGATGTATTTTGCTTACCTATGACTTGCAATATAAAGGTCCTCACTTGCATACACTTTTCAAGAGGCTTCGTGAGATGGTCTCGCAAAATCGCAATAAGACCAAAAACACCCTCTCTTATGAGCTTTTCTGTGTCTTCCACGATGTGTTTTGCAACAGGGTTTACGGGACCCCCCGAGACCTCAATGAAGATGGTTTCTTTTTGATTCACGCGACTTATACCAATACCATCGGCCTTGTGGACTGTTATCGCAGACTTGGGGAACATTGCCTTCACGCCACGAATACAACTGAGTTCGGCTTCAATCCAGTCAAATGTGACATTGTCGTAAATCGCAGCGATTCCCTTGAACATTGGAACGATGTTTTCCACGGTGTACTTCCTTTCCCAATATCTTGATCAAGACAGCCCCGTCGCGTCATCAAAAAACTGGGATAATTTCAATACACTGAGTAATGTCTTTATCGCCAATGAATAGGATTTGCAAGTCACTCACAAGTCCATCAGAATGAATTTGCACACTTCAGCAAATTCCGAACAAGGACTCCCATCCAGAGCTGACTTGAACGTTTCCTTGTTGGACTAAAAAACTGTTAACATCCAATGCGCCATTTTCAAGTTGAGACATTTATATTACCAGAAGAACGTCCATAAGCCAGGACTGTACTGCGGGGTGCATTTGCACAATGCACCCTCGTTCTCCCACAACTATGTGGTCGCCAAATGAAGCATCAAGATTTGGCTTCTGTGGAGTGATAACCTTCTTGGGCAGAGAACTTGAGGGTGGAGTCTAGAAAAAAGAAAAAAACGCTTGGTCATCATCGAATGAATATATGGAGTACGGAAGGTAACCCTTACAGTATTGCCATCAATGAATAGTTCCATGTCGAGAGGCTGTAAGTCATCATCCTCTTCGTTATTTTCGATTTCTGTCTAGACCAGTGAAATTTTAGTGCTTTCATAAGATGAAAAAAATCAAGTAGTAACTCACCTTTTGTATTTTTTTTTAGAGGGGTCATTTCTGATATTATCAGATGTGGTCGCCTTGAAAGTAACCTGCAAAATTAGTTGTGAGCAATGGCACAGCACCTATGACCTCAAATTTGAACAGCAGTACACCGAGAAACCTATACCCTGACGTTCCTCCGTTTTCGTTTACGTGATACTACTATATCCTCTTCAGACTCCTCTGTGCTACAAAGAACATGAACCAAAACAATGTAAAGCTTGTAAAATGATTGAACATAACAATAATACATGACATAAATACGATGGATACTCTGAATCTGAATTATCGGTCGAATCCTCATAATTGTCCTAGTGTAATTAAGATAGTTAAAACGAAATCTCAATTCCATTAGCATCAATGGAAACTCTAAGGGCCTACTCCATTATTCTTTTCCTGATTATTTCTGTCGAACGGATAAAAGTACCACCATGAGTTGTGCCAGAATTTCCAAGTTGGGAATTGCCCGCGAAGTTCGTATTATAGAATTGAAATGTAGAACTATGTTGGCGGGCTTTCTTCCATGTCCTTGCGAGTTTTCGGTCAGGTCGATCGTTCTAGCTTGGGACATTCAGGAATTAGCATTATTCTCAGACAGCGCATCACCAACACCCATTCAATTAATTCCCTGCCAGGTATCCGCAACCTCAGAGGTCACGCACGCCCCAAACAGGATTGGTGCCAGTCAGTCTTAAACATGGACAACCTCGGAGGTCACTCACGTCCCGACACCAATATTGGCTTCGGCTCGGAGCCTTGAATGACAGAGGAAGCTCAAAGCCACTCGTCACGCCATTATTCCCATTGATGTTTTTCCAAAAATAAAGAAAAATACTCGCCTCTCTATATCTTTTGAGGAGCTCTTGTGCTTTCGTGGCTCTACAACCTTTCTCGTTATTAGCTATTTTCTCGAGGCATAAAAGGTAACATTCGATCTTCTGCTCAACCAGTTCGATTTTGCAGGCATTCAAAAATCCTATGATATTCCAGTCCGAAGACTTCTGCCTGAAATATTTTTGTAGTTTGTGTTCGGACATCTGAAAGAAATGCGAGATTATTTGTATTGTATCGCCATATTTGAGGGTACTAACAAAATCGAGACAGCTGAAGCTTACCGAGTCAACAATCGTCGATAAGGTAAAGTGAGGTGGTGTAGACGTGAGATTTACAAATATGAGGACAACGTGTGAAGCAGAGAGAACGCGAAGGTGACTTGTTAAATGTGCTGTAGGTGCGTTTCAAAAAATTATTCAACGTAAAGTGATCAATACACGTAAACATGTCAAAAACAATCACGAGCTTGCAAGGGAGGAAGCAGTCGGCCCCTAGACCTGCCTTGAACGGCGATAACTGTCCCTGTTCTTTGGGCTCGCTCAACTATTAATTTTGGTAATTCCCCTTGTCATTATCTCTCCTCTTATTTTCTATCCAAGATGCTATCAGTTTTAAAGTATTGGGCCTGGGATTCGTTTTGCGTTTGTAAAAGTTCTCCAATGTAGAAGTTCCGATGGTACCCTTCCCGAGGTCTTCAATCTCACTCTTAACCTTACAATACGTTGTGGACAGACTAATGTCATCAAGTTTTCTCTTTGCATCAAAGAGTTGTTTAAACTCGTTCCAGAGAGTCAGAACATATCCTTCGTATGATTTGGTCGGTTTGAGAGAGTAAGACCTTCTGTGTGGTCTGACCCAATTGCAATTATTGCGAATTTCACACAGATTCTTGCCAATATCATTGAGTTTGTCAACCACCACATTATGTACAGCAGTACGTGATTAGTATTCTTGTCTGCACGCAGATTCTTGTTAGATGATGAATATAACGAACCATTTTTATTGAATAAAGCTTTTTGGCAAATGCAAATGTTGTGCTCGTGATTATATACAGTCTTCTGTGTAGATTGACTTGAGAGTTGTGTTTTGGTGAATGTGAATTCATCTTGTTTTTATACACGAATGCTAGTCGCTCGCTTATAACATAGAATAGGTCTAAAATGTCACTAAAAAATAGTCTGGATTGGTGCATGAGCCACAGCTATAAATTGAGCAAAACCTCACCAAAATTTTATCAGCTAAATTAGTCTATTTCCAGCCACATCAGTCTTTTTTGGCTCACATGATCAAATGTTCACTTTGTCTGGTTTTGTTGCAGTCTGCCCCAAATGAGCATTAAAGTCCATAAGTTATGATGAGCACATTATTACTTTTCAAAACGTCATCATTCACTTTTGCTCATTTGTAAAATGTTCACATTGTCTGGTTTTGTTGCAGCATGCCCCATTTGGGTTTCCTTTATAACACTCTTTTCACATTACCACGAACACGCGATTTTATATCATTCGATGCCTTTTAGGTAAACAATGCAATGATTACTGTTTAAAATAATCTGCCGTATTCGAGAGGGTTTTTGCATTTCCCTCGTATGCTATGTTCAAGTCGTGCAGTCACAAGATCAATGCTAGTGTTATAAGCTATGCATAATGCCGACTAGCATAACAAATATTTTTTACAATAAAAGTTTATGCCATTTTTCAATGTATAATTTTCCATACAATTTCTACCTCAAAGATTAATGCGATTTAGTTAACTTGATCTGCTGTTTTGTTTTTTTTTTGCTTTCAGCGCGACAATGCAATCAAATATATGTGACTGGATCGAATTACCGCGCGCTATTTACACGAGGACTGCATGAAACCGTACGTGCGAATGCATAAACCATGCAGACACGCGTAAACTGTGCGCTGGTTATCAGTAACAGTTTCCTGGTAGAACTGTGCCGTAAGTTGCCCGCGCAATTTGTTGATATCTGCAAGAACAAAGTTAAAAAGGAAAAAAAGGGAAAAAGGAAAAAAAAAAGAAAGCAGGGCCACATAGTTAATTTGAAAAAACATTTTATTTTCAAAAATTACTCCTTTTCTATAACGCGAGGGACGGCACATAGAATACTTTTTTAATAATACTGCGGCACTTGGTTCGACGAATAAAATCTACCAATAACTTTAGACTGCTAAACTACCCTTTTCGTATCCCTGAGATTAATCGATAAACGTTACGCCACATACATATACAGTCTTATTCTTAAAGAACTTGTATGTGGCCGGGGTCTGGTTTATCGAAAACCTTTCTGTTAAGAACCCGAACACAAGCCCATGCCATTTTTGAATTCTTTAACTCCCCTGCACTTATCAAAAAAGGGAATAGACTCATGACTTAAGCTTGATTATAGAAACGAGCTAGTATTTTAGTACCAAACGAATTTGATTATATTGATGTCCCGGGGGGCACTACCAAAATTAATACCGTTCACTGAACTAAGCTTGTTTTTGACACGGGCCTATACCGATTACACTGTGTCATATGATTTGCGTTTCAAGTACCATGATTACTTGTATCTATTTGTCCAAGCGTATCAGAGGATCCAACTGTGAAGGAGCGTTCGCTCATTTAACATAATATATTCGCTCGCAAACATCTTGTAGCCATGTGACGCGTGCCTTCCCCACACTGCTAAAAAAAATCGTCTAATTGTCAGATCATATATTACATATGGATGTGAGGCATAAATTAAGCTCATTGGTTTGGTATACACATCACTAAATAAAGAATTGTATTAGTTTTAGTATTATTATATCAGTATTTCAAACCCTTACAAGCACGCGTTCAGTCAACACTATTTGTTTGCGTATACAATTTTTGTCTAGTTGATTGGCATATGCAATCGAACACTTCCGGTTTATACCTTTAATATGCAACATGCATATAGTTCCATTCCTTATCGCATAGACTTTGACGCATTCGTATCTTTTGATCCTCTCCCCTATTCCTAATCTTTATTGTTTACACGCACATTCACGAGATAGCGAAGATCTCGTTCAATTTTTGTGTCAACGTCGATGTCAACGTCGCGTCAGTTTACGAACGACCTCATTATTTGAGACTGAAAATATCAAATTCAAAGAATAAACCATTTATCGATATGGATCAATATGCCGCATGGTTAAAAAAGTCCGATTATTGCTCCCCCAAGCATCGACTTACATAATCCATTCTAGAATGAAACACATTTTTGTCAATAACGTCATAAGGACGATCGGAACAGATTGTTGATAAAGGAAACCCATTCAGTTCATTGGTAAGTTTGCTGACAGTGTTATGACAAATCTAAAATTCACACGTGCTTGAAGGGTGATTTACAACGTGCTTTTGATGGGAAAAGACAGTTGAAAGACCAGTAGGTGTGGATACGAGTTTAAAAAGAGGGAAAATAGTGATGATCGAAACGAACAATGATCTCGTGATGAAGAAATGAATAACTGATTTGGAGAATGAAGATTTGGTAGTGGTGGTGGCGGGGGAGGTGGGACGATGGGGATGGGTGGGAGAGGAGAAACAAAATATTTCCCAATCATGAGATATTAAATATTATAGAACGACTTTATTTGAAGGGTACCCCCCAATCTTTCGTTCGAGTCTCTCTCTGTACACAAACAGTTGCGTTTGCATCGTTTATACCATTAATGAATTTTTCTTTATCTTCATTCAATAAGAATCGCGTGATTTTGCATAGAATGGTAATTTGCGGGGGAATTTTTTGATGCAGCTGTAGTAAAAATCATATTACTGCTGCATTTAATATCACTAATATAGCCAGAGCCCTGCGTTTTAGAACGAGCAGGGCTGAAAAGCTTAGCTGGTTTTGTTGGTTGTTCTTTTTGGTGATCGAAGATTTTGACGATAAGGAGAGAGGTGCTTGTTTGAGGATGTATATAGATAGCATACACAGATATGTGTGATACACTGCAACAAAAAGATTGCGGAAGGGGGACAGCAGGCATACCCGGGGATGGCGTCAATCTGGAGACGTTATCGTTTGGGTTGAAATGGACGATTTGAAGATAGCGAGGATAGTCTAATAAGCAGGGGAGCGCGGAGAATTTCCATAGACATATGGAAACTGAAGCCATAGTTGCTAGGGATTTTCCGGTCAATCAGTTTAGTGTTTCCTTGGATTGTCATGCGGTACTGATTGTCAGTCATTCAGTCTTACGGGATGAGAAGGAAGCCATATGATTGTCGAAAGCGGTTGTTCTAAATACGGTTAAACCGATTACACAGAACAACGAAAACGACAGAACTAAAATATTTTGTAACAATCGATTATATATAGCATATACAGTAAGTACGGGTAGTTATTTATATGATGATTATGATTGATAGTGATTAGGATAATAATAAATGATAATAATAACGGTAATAATAGCAACACTGATAAACTAACCTTAATAAAAAGGTTGCTCAACTTTAAAATACTGTAGAAAACTCTAATCGCATATATTAACTGTTATATATTAATATTGTTGCATATAAATATTGATTTTTTGTACTGATGCTGTCGTACAAACTATTTTTTTTTTTCGTCCACAAACAAAGAATCGATTCTGTGTCAACCTTGTCAGCATTTGCCATCTTCTTTATAACCATGTTTTCATTGTCTTTATTCTTTGCGTATTTAGTTTCTTCTTATTTGTATTCTTTTTCTTCTTCCATCTCTTGGTATTTCTTATTCATTCCTTCCACTCGCTCCTTTTCCCTCCTTTCCCTCCTTTCGACCGTAAACATACTCCTATTTTCTCTCCATTTTAAGCTTCAAATTTAACCTCTGAAGATGAACTGCATTATAGTTTGTAAACACAGAGTAATTTAGCAGTACTAAAAAATATGACCATAAATGTGCTATCGTATCAGCCTCGTATCCTAAATAAACGACACAAAACCCAAAACACTGGGAATGAAGGGTGAGAAAGGGGGAATAAATCGATGCGATACTCTACGTTGCCCATGTCTTTATGTCGTCTTCATGTTGTGTGATATGCGAGAGCCTCTTACGAATCCTTCCAAGCGTAGTCATCTGATCGTTATCAATGTACCGGAGTCATTATCACTTATTCATGACAGGCAGTTGTAATGTATAGCATTCGTTGTGCGACTAAGCAAATGTAAGTCTTGCTTCTGAAACTATTCCCAGTTCTTTCTTTCTGTTACTCCTGAGCTTACGTACGTTGACGATTGAGAAACGCTGAGCTTAAAAAAAGGATATTGTTTGTCTGTCTGTTTGGTGATTGTGCGTGTTTTAAGTATGTATGATAGAATGATGATGCTGAGGTATGTTGATTAGATAATGTATTCAAAACTACAGCGACTACATTAACCCTGCATTGTTATAAATACAAGAAACAAGACAATGGAAATCACACTATAATTTATGTAGAACGATTCAAATAGTTTAGCGGTTTTAGTTTTTGTTGTTGTTGTTATTATTATTATCATCATTATTATTACACTTATTATTATTATTGTTATTATTATTATTACTGTTGTTGTTGTTGTTGTTATTATTATTATTATTATTATTATTATTATTATCATTATTATTACACTTATTATTATTACTGTTATTATTATTATTATATTATTATTATTATTTATTGTTACCATCATCATTATTCTCGCCCCATTGTGTATATTTTAATTTATACATGAATGAATAAATATACTTTTTATTCTAATGCATGCTGTATATGTATGTATAATTCTTCTCTTTACTGCAAATAGTTTTTGGGGGGCTTTCTTTCTATCTGTTTACTTTTCTGTTTTATACTACTTCTCCCTTTTCCCCCAACTCAATCAACCCCCCCCCCACTACTTTATAAACCTTTTTATTTCTTGTCCTTTTATCCCATTTACGGTGGCGTATACTCAGCCACAATTTGCTGCAATCGGAATAATTAAAATCAAAACTAAAAACTACATCATCAATTTATTTATTTTTATGTGTTGAGTTTCAACAGACTGTGTATCCTATTTGGATCTGATTGTCCACATTGACAATCGTAAAAAGGAGACCTCCCCCACTCGTCTCTTCTCTTCTTTAGTATTCCCCTCGTCCAACTTATGTCCCGTTTATCAACTCTCTTATCTTCCTTTGCCTACTTTTGCTTTTTCCTTTGGGTTTCTCCATTCTTCTTTGTCCTATTTGTCTGTACTGCGTCTTTTCAAATACATATGGCTCCAATATTCGGCAATCCATTCAAGACTCCCACTGCTAAATATTTACTGCCTTTCATGCGCTTTCTCAACATACCAACTTCCGTGTCCGATATACAATCAAAAAATCCTTATGCTCCCATAGCAAAGACTTCTACAAAGACTTCTGACTGTATATACGCTAAGCTCCTCGTTAGCTTATCCCACGAATTTGGTGATGAATTGTTAGGCTTGTTTGCCTACGGCTCACGCGTCTACGGCAATGCTAGACCTCACAGGTAAATTAAACGAGTCCATGTGCGAGGAAATCCAAGATGTATTCTACAACTATTATCGAAGCGTAAAAACCCCCTATATAGATCTTTTCTTTTTCCCAAGACGTTGCGTATACGCTGTCAACAACTTGCTCATTTTTTTTTCCGGTAATCCTTCTTAGTGACGTGGATGTTGATGTCCTCATAAATTCACAACGTAAATGTCGGCGAAATGTTATCATCGATGGTTTGGAGGTATGAATCATCCCATTCTCCCATTCTTTTACATATGAAAACTACGTGAATCTCGTATTGTACCATGTAATATCATATGCTCATCTAAAACAATTACACACTATTGCACAATATCACATGTTTCACTATCGTATCACCTCCCCCCCAAAAAACTCACACATTCCCAGGTCGAAATGTTTATCCACCCACCATCCCATATATGCCACCTGCTCTCGACTGACGAAACTGGAATTATCTTACGATGCTATGCATTCGGTAGAATCATTTACGACCCAAATAACATCCTGCCTCCGTTACAAAACCTTGCGAGAATACGCTGGGAAGCTGGCCCCCCTGCACTCGACGCAAAAGACTGTTGGCGACCGCGCTACGAGATAGCAGATCTCATACGTGATCTTGAAGACATAAGCTTTGTCCACAACGAAGCAACCGCTCATTTCCTCTTGGTCAAACTGGTGGAGCGCCTGGCGCGCATTCAAGAGAAATTATGGCATCGATGGCCAGAAAAGTTGAAGCGTTGCATCGAAGAATGGGAAACGTGGGATACTGTTGGCGGAAATCTAGCAAAAAGAGCACTGAATTCGAAAATTGCATGGTCGGAAAGAACAAGATGTGCTAGAGAGTTGGCAAAGTATGTGCTTGCACCTATTGGTGGTGTTATGCCTACCGAATGGCACATGGATTGGGAGGCAATACCTCCTGTCGAAGAACCGTTCATAATACCGAAAATAGATTTATTCATATAATCATATACATCCCCATCCCCCCTCCAACCAAATTCATTGGCCTTGTATTATATATTATCCCCTCACATCAAACTTGCAAGAACATTTTAAACCGTCGAATGCAAAATTTTCTGAACAAACAATTTTATAGACTTTTTAATAATTTTATATCTTTCTTTATCTCCTTTCCCCTAATATTTATTCTTCCGCTTTCCTTTTTTATATTTACATTTCATGTTTCATCGTCCTATACCTGATACTCTTTTTCTTTCAACCATATTCAAACATGCTTAGTCGTATAGAAGTTCACATTTTCTTGTATTACCGCATAGACTGCACGTAAAAATGATTCAACAAAGTTTCTTGACATTGGTAGATGAAAAACCAAAACCAAAATGGCCTTGTGGTTACATTCCAGTTTACGTATTTGTAGTAGTAGTAGTAGTTTACTTCCTGCGCGTGAGCGAGAAAAATTATTACATCAGTGATTCTATGCGCGTAAATCATCAAATCTTATTGATTCCTCCTTCACCCTACTCCACTTCTTACGCGAAAGCAGCAACATAGCGAGCAGGTGACGCTAGCAAGAAGACGTCGGCACCTAGCGCCGAGTTTGAAATAAAGTACATTATTAGAAAAGCGGTTAGGTATTACATGTATAAATAAGGTAAACAATTCCTGTAAACTGTAAGCGTAAACTCCCTGCATATGTAGTAATGCACACAACGCATGCATTAAATAGCACAAGAAGCAATTGCTCGCTCTCTTTACATATTATAGCAGCAGTTGTGCAGACCAATGTCTATCCCATTTTCAAACTGGATGAGATGGAAGTATAAACCGAATCAATACTGTAATTGTCGATGAGGGAAACCAAACACCATTGGGCGGTTTCTCAGAAGCATAACTCTAATTATGAAAACTGAGCGTGACGTCACGCCTAAAAGTGGCAATCGTAATAGAGGCATTTTAAAAACCAGACAAGGCACTATTTGACCATGTGAGCTAAAGATGGCTAATATAGCTGAAAGATCAACCAAGGCTTAGTTCAGCTTTTGTTATGACTGAAACTGGGCGCGCAGATGTTTGCTAAAAGTTATAACATAATATGAGACTAATTTATATCAAATCCACTATGGATACCTAATAATAAATAAAGCTCAAGCCAAGAAATTGCGCGCCTCATCTTTTTTAAACTAACTTTTTCAAATAGGAAAATCAAAGGAAACAATTTAACGTAAAAGCTTTTCGCCAAGGCATCCACTGATCGAACGACCTATTACTATCAACAAAACATCATGTTTGACTTTGATAAAAGACCCTTGAACGCGTTTCTTTTTACCGACAGGTTTTTTATAAACTACAAAATTTGAGTTACTGGAGTAAAAACTGATTCCAGACCCCTTGTTGAGCTTTGATTCGCATTTCGCTACGTTGACCCAATTACAACAGAAAAGTTAAAATTACCTAACGATATTCAATTTTCATAAGCATAACTTGCGATCGTTCTCGAAAATACAGTGTGTTGCAAAAGTCCTTGGCAACATTTGGAGTTTTCAACGAGACAATGACGCCAAACAAGTCGTATTGTCATGGCATTCTTAAAGGAAAACGACCATCCAACTTCAAAATTCCTTATTTAAAAATGAATCTGTGTCAAACTCCCCCTCCGAAAATTGTACGCATCACAAAAACGCGTCTAGCATGCCCAGTTTGATTCAAAACAAACACTAGATTTAACTGGCGGGAAGCCTATATTCAATTTTAAATTCATTGGAAGAAAACCAAAAACTTTATTTGTGGAACGAGAGTGTGCGAGTTAAGTACAAACATCCTACTTTCGACGATATATGATAATGGCGCCAATGGTCGCCCCAGAAAAAATTGATTGCATCATGATTTCGGATAAACACACTCGGAGAGACAATTTATTCATCGATCCATTAGAACTTAATAAATCTGAACCACATCTTTCACTAGTATATCTTACATAGCTAATGCAACTGTGAGAATTACAACAATAATAGAGAATGGATGTATAATATAATAGAGTTATCATTCCTTAGTATTAAAGCATAACCGTCCATCCCGATATTCACCACTCCTCTTTGCTAAAGTTGATCTTATGAGACTATATTACCAGGGCAATCTAAATTCCTAATAAACAACAACATATTACATTCTCATAAGTCATATATATATGTGTATATATGCATATACTGTTCACTCGGATGCTAGAGGCATATTGCTATACTCTTCATTCGGTTCAAGCAAACTATTCCAAACATAAATATTATGAGTAAGAAAGAATAAATTGCATATTGCATTACATTTGGGCTCATCGACAAACCTGCATTGTTTCAAGAGAAGACATTCACCACCGTTTTCGAGATCTATACTATATTGGTATAGATTCCCTTCGGAAGTGACAACCATCACTTGCGGGATATTACTATAAAAGGAGTTGATCAGAAAAACGCTAGAACATCTTGAATTCAATGCCTATAAAATGTAAATTATAAATTTAAATATATATTACTTGCTCAGTGCAACCACACTCTGTACGCCTGAAGCAGGCAATTTCAGATATGCAAAATCGCGTGTCGGTTCCCACATTTCTGTAAGAGCGTCGGGAAGGTAATTTCCTACACTTCCAGCAACCGTACGGCCGAGATGAAGAGAGGACCGACGAATCGTACTCCTGTTTAGTGATAGGCGAGATGACAGATGGACAAGAAAATAATAGATAAAGAGAAATAAAAACGGTAAAAAGTTAAATTTGGGTCACAGAGCAGATCCGTTGTGTCGATGACTCTTTTATGAAAATAAACTGTGTAGTCGCAAAGATTCCCAGTTCATTCATATGCCGGTTTTCCATCGGGTAGTTGTTTCGTAGCAAAATGGGGCTGCCGAGGAAGGGATGGGATGAAATGGAATTTTTTTTATCATCCGGGATCGACATAACTATCATTAGCCCAAGTCATCGAAATAGGCAAAATAATATCTACTCGCCTCAATTTTCGCCTTCTCAGCATAGTAAAAATAAGTAAACACTGACTCAAAAAACATATCACAACAACTCGTACAACTAACTAAATCACAAAGTACTAACTTAACAATCCCTGACTTCTTCCTATCATCAATGAAAGCTTCATACCCAGATATCGGTGTTTGTCCGGTGGAATGTCTTGCAACATTGGCTGATCCAGTTCCGTTATTACTCGTTCCATTTCCGGCGCTTGAACCCGCTGAGCCCGGAACGCCCCCCAATTTGAATATATGTACTGTATCGGTATCACTACTAACACACAATAACGTCGACATGGTGTTAAAAGAAATCGAGTGAATCCTCGCAGGATACGATCCTCTTCGAAATTGGTAGAGTTTCTGTGCATTAGGAATGGAGAATACTCTGATCACAGTGCCTTTATCAGAAGCTGTTGCTAGCAAGGTACCGTCTGAGTTTATTGCAACGTAGGCGACCGGCGATTTGTGTGCTTGGACGATATTAACTACTTGAAGAGATGCGGCATCGAACAGGTAGACGTCACCTGAGGGTGAGGCGTTCTGTGTATTGCTGGAGAATGGTGACGAAGTGGGTGTTGGTGATGGGTAAGCTATGTAGCAGTTCTCGTTTGACGGGGAAAGGGCGCATATGGCTTAATAGAATAGTCGGTTTTTTTTAGTAATTATATGGCAATCAAGAAAATATCCCGGTTAGTAGGAATTTCGTCTTTGCAACAATAAGGACGAATTTATACCTACCATTTGGATTTGGACTGGTATGAATGTCGTGCAGTAGCTTCATATTACTGATATCATAAATATAAATGGATGTCTCCAATACAACAATCAATCTGCGACGATTCAATTTGACAGCGAGAATTGTTGAAGAGAACGAAAGCTCACATATTGTCGTCTGGCGCTGTTAACGAAAAAGCACAGATCCAGCAGTACGAAAACGTAAAAGCACAAGCATAGGGAATGAGATAATGAACAAACATTATGACAAACTCTTGTAACACCGTTCTACCTTTGTGTTTGTTATTTGTAAACGTCGTGGTGAGAAAGCAGGATGTTCTCCAGCACCGACAAGAGCAACGAGAGATGTGCAAAAAAGCATTTCAACAATACCGATCCCGCCATCAGCTTTTTTACATTAATAGATTGATTCGAAACGTAGTAAGTCAATTGCTCAATTGATAAAATATTAGAATACATATGAGATAAATAATCCGACTCACTTTTGGAGTAGCATTTTCCAAACGGATCACAGTTGTATACCTTGTATCCGTGTTGAGTGCCGACGGAGATACAGCTATTTTCAAAGGATAAGAAAGTAGATCGTTAATATATCGGTTAATCAAATAACACAATAACATATAATACGTTCATAGAGACAGAATATGAAAAAACACAACAGCCTATTCTTCATATATATATATTTTTTTGATTCCAAGGCTACACACAGCCGAGTGAACGCAGGCTAAAGTTAATTACCTGTAGTCCTGGTTGAAGTTGATGAATAGCAACTCGTTGTTTCCTTTACCGCTAAGATTCATATTTACAAATGTGCACAAACTGCGAAATACGATCGCACTAAGGCTACGATTGTATCCCAAGGTTTAACTGAAACAAAGTGTCAAAGCGACGACCTCAGTATATATGGCTGAATTAATGTTGCTTACGCTACCTCCCACTCTTCCAACAAGTAAAATGGCTGGGATTTAGAGTTGGATTTTTTCACACCGCATTACGTCACACAACTAACAAAAGCGTTGCATTCTTTATTAGACACACGGATATAAACTTTGTGACCAGAATGACTAGAATGGTCTTGTGACAGTGGCCCCCATTGAAATTTTTATCCTAAACAGTATATTCTAATCTAAAATGTTTAAATTCTTTAAATATAAAAGGAAGTTACGAATAAGAAGAGAAATAATGTTCCTTAATCGGAGCGATGCGAATAAATGAACTGTTTACTGCTGATTCGTTTACACTTACTAATCACGAACACGCAATAATTATTGTAAAAACAAAATTCAAACCAACAATCGCTAATGAGCGCTCCAAAAAAATCGCTTGCTTTCTCGAGTGAATTCCGAAGACATAACAATAAAATACTGTATCATTATTTACCGTAACTATCACTCTTGGTAAATAATATTATGGTCCGGCGCCGTCACTGGAAATTCCTCGCATGTACAAAATTCGCTAATCAATCACGTATGTCGAACTGAAGTTCTCTAACCAGTACGGAGAAAAAGAGATACTTTTTAGCGTCAGACGTAACACCCAGACTTGCCAATTACTAATTGAGTCATCGTTTAGCCTATGACATGTTATGTTACTCTGAATTACTTAACTATTCCGCTGTGATAACATTACCGATCGACGCCAAAGCGAAGAGTATTATAATATTACTGACCTGGGTAAAATAGAGTTACGCTTCTCTATGCTCAGGAGGAATAGCGGTTACTGGAATATTCGTCTAGACATGTGGTTATCGTGACGAGTTATTGTTATAGAAGGGCTATTATGAGAATAATGTTAATCACACAGAACCCATTAATGAAACGATACTGAGTAGAACCTTCAGGATAGCCTATCGCGTTCACAGCTAGAGCTGTTGTTCCTACAGCCCCAATTTGATTATTATGAAGGTCCAAAGATGTTAAGGATGTGTTGAATTCAAGAGTTTTAGCCAAATCTGTTGCTCAACATTTCTGATCCAATTGTATTGTAAGTTTAATAATGACAGGGAGGAATTATTATGTAAAGCCTCTGCCAGAGCTGTTGCACCTGTGTCTCCAATCTTGTTACCACAAAGATTCAAATATGTCAGTGTAGAATTTGATTTTAATACTTCTGCCAAAGCTATTGCTCCTAGGTCTCTGATTTCATTGTATTCAAGTTGCAATGAAGCCAGGCTTGCTAAAACGATTATTCCTTTATCTTCAATACGATTCTTGTGTAAATTCAATGAAGTCAATTAGGAATATAATTTCAGAATTTTTGCCAATCTAAATTTAATGTCGTTTGATCAATCGTATAATTTCAGTTGATGGTCACTTATCGGGACTATTCTCCCAGCATCTTGAATAAAGTTCAAAATACTTCTCAGGTGTTCCGGGAACGGGAGGATTTCCAGCCTGTAAAAAATAATTTGATGGCTTTCAGTATGGCCTGCACACGGCAGGGTGTTTTTCCAAAGCACGCCCCCAAGCTAAAGATGTCAGAACTTTTTCCACGCTCATCCTCTGATAGGATACTGGATTTATGCTTCATGTCCCTTATGATGTCATGTGATTGTGCTCTTTGACTATTTATTTACTATTATTATATTAAGCTGCACTAAAGTAACAAACTAAAACATGGTTGTTTACTGTATAAAACGTAAATGAATAAAGCAAAAGTATTATATCGGTATGTGCAAGTTGTCGAGTTACGCGACGCATGATCTGCAACAAAAATAATTGGGTGAACACAAAATTTAATTCACGTGAAGTGACTGCATAAATGCGCCCTACATTGCACGTCGCTATAAACCTCACGTCTACACCACCTCACTTTACCTTATTACTATGACAAGAGTTGAATCAGTAAGCGTCACTGTCTCGATTTTGTTAGTACCTTTAAACATGGTGATATAATATAAATAATCTCGCATTTCTTTCAGCTCGTGTCCGAACACGAACTAAATAAGTATTTCAGACAGAAGTCTTTAAACTAGAATGTCATAGAATTTTTGAATGCCTGCAAGCTCGAGTCATTTGATCAGAAGATCGAATGCTATCTGTTGTGCCTCGAGAAAATAGCTAATAAGGAGAAAAACGGAGGGTGATACAGTAAATGTAGGCGCGTTTCATCACTAAGCACAGGTCGTAAACCACGCGATCCGCCTGCAACTGCAGAGCACGTGAACTATTTGTCGTTCTCGTATGTATAAGTGGTTGTAGGTAGTATTAAAATGAGGCATACATTGCTTTGAAGACAAATGAGTCATGTGGAGATGGCATAAACATGTCAAAAATAATGGAAGGAGAGGGAACGGCAAGCCATTAACAGTATGCCTTTATCAAGTTCTCGGTCATGCTAATTTAAGTTCCATCAGTGTTTATGTAAGAAGCAGGGATTTAGATAATTTAATAAAATTTAAGCCGGGTTAGTTTTTGCAGTTTTTAGCGGAACTTCGAATATGCAAACTTGAGAAATGATGAAAAATTATTGCAGTGAAGTAGTACAAGAATCGACCAATAAAGTGCTTGCGTCACAAAAAATTATTCCGCAACGGGGAATTGAACCCCGGCCTTCCCGGTGAGAGCGGGAGATCCTAGCCACTAGACCATTGCGGATTGCTTCGCTGGAATAGGTTAAAATATTTTGTCTATATACATAAAATCTCCCGGGAATATCAATACTATAGTACTTACAGTTTATACTCCAACTAACTAATGTATACCGATATCATTAAAAGCACGTATTTAACCTACTTACAATTATAGCAAATTTATTACAATATTGATTTTGTACAATATTACGCTATTAATGATGATAAGCTTCCCCGAACCGTTTTTCGCTTATGAAACACCTATACCAAGTGTGCACATGAGAGGAGATACTTTCGATCATTATTCTCCTCATCTCTAGCCATAATTTTCAACAACCTGTACGCTCAGCTAACTCAAGTGCATATAAACCTTAGTTATATAGGCCAAAATTAAAGATGCTAAATGTCTAAAGAAAGGAAACAGAAGTAGGAATAATATTATACAAGCGAAAAGGATATGCAAGGAAAATGAAATATTTTCTATAAAATGCAATGAAAAAAAAAAAAGAAAAAAAAAAAAACAAAACTCAATTCTATGCTCACACGAACTCTCTAATAATAGCTCATAACATCGCAAATGAAAGAGATATTCCACGATCGATACGCAATCTAGCGCACGGGGCGGTACCTATCAGCAGTGTACGATGGTACCGGAGGTGGCCCGTCCCGATCTATTTGATCTAATAATTCTGCAATACCCTGAACAAGCCGTGTTGTTGCACGCTCATTGCACCCAAGGCTAAGACTGTCTGCATCAAACGATTGATTCGCATCATCGTCATCATTATTATTAACGGCAGATCCCTTGTGACTTTTCACATCGAGTTGGTCATATATTCGAGACAGGCATCGTTCAAGAAGATATTTCAGTTGACTAGTCAGCCTAATACTTTTTGGTCCCCCGGTAAATTGAAGCCATTCGTCCATAAGCAGTGTTATATCGCCTTTCTGCAGTAATTCTGTCTCCCCGCCAAATAGCACTACCGACAATGGGTCTATTTTGGTTGTATCACGAAGGAAAACTTGCTGCTGCCCACTCGATTTGACTTTAGTTGAATAAGCATATAGTGTACCGACAGCTGCTTCTACATGTTCTTCTTCACTTGATTGCCCCGATCCATTTCTCATTGCGGCCGCCTTGGCAAGTCGTCCTTTATAATTCACAGATGCAGGATGAATGAACGCACAATTTTCGTGTCTAGTTCTACAAGTCTTTTTTGAAGTTTTCAGGGATACGTTTGGATATACTCCAGCACAAATTAAAGCACGGAGCAGGGGAATGCAATTGGAATTCACATTAAGTTCCGGCGGACCGATACCAGGACCCGTCTGATAATTAAACCGTTGGTTATTTTTAGGAACAACACCAGCACGTTCCAAAAGTTGTAAAAGTTGTAGTTTTACTTGTCCTATGGTTTGCATTCCTGATTTACTTAAATAGTTATCAGAACAAAACCTGGCCGCTGCAACAGCACGACCTTGAGAGTGAAGCTTGTACCAGGCGTTGTACACGTTCAATATAGCAAAATGATCACTTGCCAAACCCTGAGCCCATTCGACTTTGACCTGGTCTGCTTGTTGCTTGCATTGTGGTAGAGACATGAAAGGATTCTTTGACGCCATACAAGCAGCAATGGTTAACATTGGATCCAAGCATTGGAATATAGCCCCTAGTAACACCATTTTCCCTAGTCCCGGTTCCATTGGGAGCGTAGCTAAAACCTTTCCAAGTGGAGTCAGCTCCTCCGATGAATCCAATGCACGGAGAGATTTCAAATTTTCTAGTGCCGCAACTACGCTAGCCTCGTCTGGTGGTTGGATAGCCTGAGCGAGTACGTCTCCTATTGTTGCTGGAAGATCGAGCGCCTTGACATACAAACAGATCTCTTGTAAATCAGAACGTAACATTTCCGGAGTAGAATATCCTTCGAGAGTTTGATAGCGTGCATACGACATCAATGCGTAGTATTCTCCTTCTCTGACCCGACCAGCTCTTCCTGAACGCTGTCTGGAGTTTGATTGGCTTATCCATGTGGTCATTAAGCTTGTCATGCGCTTGCTCTGGTCGTACCGCTTTTCCTTTACTTTGCCCGAATCAATAACATAGACGATATCTTGAATAGTAACGGACGTTTCTGCAATGTTTGTTGCAAGAATGATTTTGCGCATGTTGCTAGGCACAGGATCGAACACTTCCTGTTGTGCACTCGCCGGAATAGTAGAGTGAAGTACGTAAATTTTAAAGCGCTCAGTGTCTGCAAAATTGATTCCTAAAGGATAAGGGGTTGAGGTAATTTGGCGTTGGAATGTCATAATTTCGTCGAGACCAGGCAAAAAGACCAGTATGGCGCCTTCCGTGCTAGTGTTAACAACGTGAGCAATAACTAGTGCCATTAATTGATATGGTATTTCTGCATCAGCCGCCTCGTCTATTTGTTTCGGCGCATTCGACCATTCGGTGATGTTCGACGAGGGTGTTGAACTACCTTCAACATCGTCAATATCGCTACTGTGACTGCTAACGTCATCACTATCCACATCCACAGTAAGATATTTATTTTGCGCATCTGCCTTGGATACCGGCGGTCTGGGAGTCTCGACTAGCGGAGGAGCAAGCTTCAACTCACGATCGACGTATTTTTTCGTATCCTTGTCCTCGAAACATGCTAATCCCGCGCTTTGATAACGTGACTTGAGCATCGGTATGAGATCGTCAAGAAAATATTGTTGTACAGGGAAGGTTCTGCCAGGTACCTCGATGACAGGACATTTACCATCCGGACAAAATTCACCAAAATAATCAGCAAAAATACCCGTGTCTATGGTGGCGCTCATCAAAATCAATTTTATGGGCGGTAAGCCATCTCGCCGTCGTTCAAAAAGAATACGCTTCAATATGACCAATAAAAAGTCACAGTTCATATCTCTCTCATGAACTTCGTCAACAACAATATGAGAAACTCCTTCCAAGGTGTCTTTTCCATCTTTATCTTCATGCATCTTTCGCAAAAAAACGCCAGTTGTACAATACAGAATACTCCCATTAGGCACAGGAGGAACACTCTCGAATCGAACAGTATATCCTATAGATTGTCCCAAACGTTCTGCGCGCTCCTTTGCAACTCGCTGTGCAACAGAAATAGCTGCTATTCGTCGAGGCTGCGTGACTATAATATTGCAGTAAGCACCTTTGCCATTTCGGATAGATTCTTCAAAAATAATTTGCGGTAACTGTGTAGTTTTCCCACAGCCAGTTGCCCCGACAAGAACAATGACGGGGTTCTTTTCAATTGCTTCTACAATTGTACTTGCATACCGTGCTATTGGAAGAGAATCACGTGTTGCACGTATTGGCGCGTTTTGAAGGGAATTGAGATAACGTTGGTACCTGTTGTATAATTCCATTGATTTACTCACAAGAAAAGTATCATTTAGCCGAGGGCGTTTGACTGGCAGGTTCGTCGGTTCGTTGGAAACGTCCGATGATGGCAATTGCTTACTCTGCATTATAATACCCTCATCTTCGTTTCTCAAGAAATATTCTACATCATGCAGATCGGATACCAAGCTTCCTAATATGTCATGACTTTTATCACCGAAATAAATCTGAACAGATGGTGCTGGCTTGGTTTTTTCCTTGTTTTTTATTTCTTTTTCGTATTTTTCCCAATGATGTTCGTACTTTTTACGCAATTCTATCGCGCCATTTATGTACGAAGCTCCCTGTGCATCGCGTTTATTTGATCTAGTTGCAACACCTAGCGCGTTATCATGTACGATTAAATGTGCTTGCCACAACGTATGATGAGCGGGACCAATTCTCTTGTACTGGAATACCGGTGCTTTGTAACCAAATTTCTTAATGACGTATGACACAAACCGCTTAGCATCAGTTTCGCTCAACGAACTTCCCGCTGCTTTATCGATAGAATTTATTCCATTGGCAGCCATGTACTCTTCGGTCTTTTGTTTGAAATCTCTTGCAGCAGCGTTTTCTGCATCCCGTTTTGTCCTACCAGATCCACGACCAATTATGTTTGGTTCGGGTAATTCTACCACAGCATTCCATACTGTGTTATGCGCCGGACCTTCTCCGGTCACTTTAAAATCGGGTATGTAGTCAAACCTCGAGCAAAAGTCTATCACGTGTTTCTTAGGATCACCTTCGTTAGAATTGACCTTGGCCGGAGGAGAATCTTGTTTGCGAGAGCCTGATTTGTGTTCATCTACAAGTTTCTGTAACATACCATCAGATTCCAATTTATAAAGAAGATGAAGATAGGCAATTTTCTCAGCATCCTTTTTTGTCTTTCCATCACCATAAGCGAGCAGCACCTCCCCGGAAATTTTCAGGCTAACCGTGGCTCTGTGTAGTTTATTGTCATCCGGTCCGAATGACTCCCAAGCGACGTCATGCTTTGCGTGATTATTGAGAAAACTCTTTGGACCTTTTAGCCAAACAAGGTTTTCTTGTCTAGATTTAACTGATTCTACATCAAAAGTGGAATCGATATAGCTCTGGTTATAAATGCGAAGCGGCATGTGGTACGTAGACTTTTGGCGCTTTTCTACGCCACGTTGGCGTTCCCGGTCGCGTTGATACACTGTCTGTTGCGGAGGAAGCGGATCTCGCTGTGTCGAATGCTCAAGCTGACTAAATAGCTGACTATAGCTAGAGTACAAATTGGGCTGTTCTGGTTGATGCTGGATAGTACGGCCGCCATCTGCATCATCTATTCTGATAATAGCATCTGATTTCTCCTCGAAATAGGAGCTTGCAAAAGTGTTGCCATCAGTGGAAAGACGTTGTCTGTGCGTTGGAACATAAGGATCGGCTGGTGTTAATGGTGACAAGGGTCTCTTCTTGGAGGTTGACGATGAATCTTTTACAGGTGATAAACGGGACTGTGGTGATGGTAACAAATGACCTGATTGACTAGATCGGCTTTCTGACCTACGCCACGATTCCTCTAACTTTCTCGATTGGGAGTAAGTTGAAGAATTGGTCTTAGAATAACGGTCCCTACTTGAATGCGTATTACAAGATCGATCATGATCGCAATTGGCAGTATGTGCCTGTGGATACCGGGTTGAAGGTTCAGTATTTGGGCTGTTTCGTCGATTATGTCGTGAATTTGTTCGAAAATCATTCCGGTTTTTTGATAAATCAATAAAAGGTTCGTACTTATGGTGGGGTAAATGTCGTCTTTGCTGAGTAGAGCTCGGAAGCTGATGAGCAAAGGCGCAACTCGTTGGTTCCCTGTTCTTTTCTCTCTCATTTAACTGCTGACGCGAGTAATGAGTATTGGATTGCGACGACTTCATTGCGTTATTTCCAATATGACTATTTTCAGTAACTTTTTGTCGTTCGCCTTCACAGTTGTATGAAAACTTTTTCGGAGATAGATCGCGAGTAAACTTTCGCAAAGAACCGGGTGTCGTAGTATCCGTCAATGGGTTTAAACCGTTACTGATATGTTGCACACTTTTGCTCATACCGAAGTTAAGGGAAAGCGAGCATTTCTTGATTAATGAGAGTCGACTAAGTTGGTATAATGGAATACGGATATAATGAGTTTTCGCTTGGTAGCGGACGACGAAAGAATTGCGTAGCAATGTTGGGGGATCCGTATAATATATGCATAAATTGATTGGCCCAATCCGAACAGGCATAAGATATAAGTTAGTAATGGTACTAAGGGTACTAATAGTATTAATAGTATCATTAAAGCGTACGAACAGCAGATTACGGCAATTTCTTGAAATTTTCTTGAATTTTGTAACATGGACCTGCAAATCCTCAATTCCATTCGATATCACAACAGCAGGAATGAAGCGTTATTTTGCTTTCTACTGAATTCGTCACATCGGACAAAAACAAACTCTTTGAATCTACACCAATTCCAGGGCTCTGTACAACTCTGTTATTTTAAACATAACTGGTGCTGTAGGGAAAATAACTTGGGATTTACTGGTGCTCGCGTGGTATGTTGCATCACGCACATGCCATTGTGATACTTAATTTACAAAAATTGTTATGTATGGATGGTCGAGTTTTCCAGACGAGCAAATCAGAATTCATTTACGCTGTCAAGTGGATTTTCGGTTTAATTTTCCTTTTTTTTTTTTTTTGATTTCGTAATTTACTTCTTTCGGAAGAGATAAGGGGTCGAATTGCCACATTTGATCTACGCAATCACCCAAGACATCTATTACTATTGATAACAGTATACTTCTAACATCCAAGTGCATACAAATAGTAATAAACCTATTAATGCGTCCAAAAGGACAATAATGGAATATGACAGACGAATGGGCGCAACTGCCAAACACGTTCTTTTCATCCTTCCACACATTGGCAATAAGTAAAAAGTTACTCGATTGCTAATGTGCCATCGTATGAACCATTTTTGTCATATCCCAGGTATTTTGACCTTTAGTTCCATTCCGCTCATTCCACGCTGATTTTTGCCCTCTCTGGTAAACTATCGTAAAAATCGAAAAGAACTTCTTTGGGCAATGTTCTAAATCCCTCGGTTTTTGAAACTCGTCCGAAGTTCATGTCCATGAATCTGAGGGCTCGTTTCTTCAGACCGTTCTCTCCTGCCATTGTAGCACGATGATAAATTCTTGCTACATGCTCGACATCAATTTTCTGATGTATGCGGCTACTGCATAACGATACTAATCGTGGTAGCAGATATAAATTCCCCAATGCCATAAGGTCAGCTATGGTGTCTACCGGTAGATAGTCTTCTAAAGTGTCTGTATAAAGATAGTATATGAATGCACGCACTGTGCTGTATGGTTCGGGAATAGTAAATGTGTTGCTGAAAGATTCTATCATGCCTGAATTAAGCATCTTGGCAAAATGTGCCCATCGTGCAAGAAGTATGATCTTGTGACAATATATCGGAGGAGCATCCTTCTCCAGTGAACGAAGGGTAAAATCGGACACTGCCAATTCATTAAACAGCTGTCCGAGATCCATCCCGATTGTTGGTGGTTGAATATGAACAAGGCCATACTCTTGCAAATCTACCGAGAGCACGCAAGACAAGTAATGCTCCTCGTCTTTATCACCGTTGCCAAACAAGAATAAGCATTGGTTATTCTCACCCATTGCAAAATAATGCCAGTTACCCTGGATTATTTGTTCGTCACCCAGATACTGACGCCATTCGAAAGTATTCATATCGAGTGCCCATGCACCAGTTGATACTTGCAGTAGACCATGCTTCACGCATTCTGTTACTACTACGACAAGTCTATCTCCACATAGCTGAGCAAAATGTTGTCCAGCAGTGCCAGGAGCAGATGCACTCGTAATGTCGATTTTAGATACAGTCTTTGTGTCTAGATCCATCATCGTTAGGGACTTTTCTCGATCAAGATCTTCAGTGTAACCACCGTACAAACAAAGCTTATTGTTAAAGATAAAACTATAATGCGAATGACGCGGTTCGAACGCAAATGGTGGTTCCCAGGTCCAAGTCTCCAGATCGAGACAATTAACATCTTCCGAGACAATGATGCCGTCAGCAGAGTGACCACCGACGATATATAACTTGTCGTTGTAGATTGTGGCCGAGTGCTTCGCTCGTCCTTGTGGAATATAGCCACGCACTTCCGGTCTTTCCCATGTCATCGTTTCTAAATCTAATATCACGACATCATTACAGTATTCATCTTCATCGTCCATCCCACCAAATATAACGAGTTTATTTCCGTTCCACAACGATGCTGAGTGATCGTTTCGTTTTGATGGCCTTTTGCCCTTCACATAGATGACATCTTCCCATTTCATTTCTGCGACATTTAATCTATATAGATCATTATACACTTCATCGGTGTACTGATCAAAGCCACCAAATAAGTAAATATAATTTGGTGGATGTTGCGGATCGTCCTTGTTGGGGACCACTGTGACGGAAGCATTGACTAGGCAGCCTAACGAAACCCCTGTAGTCTCGGTTGGACGTGGGTGGGTGTATAACGAAGAGATATATGAACTTCTGAAGTCAGTTGACGTCGAGAGCGGAGACGTGTCTAGAGTGGAAGTGGTGGAGGACGGTGACGGTGTACTTAAAGGTGAAGACGAAGAATCTGACATTGGTTTGAGTTCTATTTTGCATACAAGTACGTGGAAAAAGGGACGAGCGCACAAGTTGGAGATCAGACAATAAAAAAGACTTGGTCAGCACTCATGAGTGACTGCCTTGCTAGTTCGCTTGTTAGAAAAAGTGTTTTTGTAAATACCGTAATATCAGAATATTCTTTTATTATTTCTAATTCGAGGTTTCTCTGAGGATCGCTTGGTCTTTTAAATATGACCACAATAATGTATAACGTCAGTGATGGACATGTTAAAAAACAAGACGAGAATGGTTAGTTAGTAAAGGACAATGTATAACTTTTGATGTGAGCATATTGACCGCGTACAGGGGTGAATATGACCAGTATGGAATAGATACTAATAAGGAACGCGCTTGTTATAGATATTAATAAGACATGGTCCTTACACCCTGAACCAACCATATTGATACCAACAATTATGTTCACAATCATTTTGTCCAAGATTTTTATCTACTTTTTTTTTTTTTGCGAGATTGTAATCTACATAGAAAGAAAAGTTGATCTAACTTACTTTTGTGGAATGAAATTTGCTCGATGAGAACGATGGAAATTCGAGTGGGCAGATTGAAACGTCTTAGTCGATATCAAATAAGCATTCAAACTTTTTTTGCTCTGTTTCCCCCGTCCCTTTGTGATTGAATGGGCAATCACCTGATTGCACAATAAATTACGATTCGTCACGTGAAATTTACATTCGGCTTGTGTCACTTAAGGCGGAAAAGCCCCGGTATTCGACGAAAATACGGTTTACATGCGAGTACTTGTTATAACTTTGCTCTATAATTTACGTTTATTGCTTGTGCGCGCAAAGATTTGAAATTAAGCAAAACTTTTCTCGTAAACACACGTATTAAACTGTTTTTATTGCAATGCCAACCAAACATACTGGAGCAATCATGCAATCTGTGTTTATAACGCCTAATTTCAAGTGGGCTGAAGCTGAAACTACGAGTTCTTTCAATGGTTGATCAAATAACTATTCTCTAACCCTATTGCTTAGTTTCAGCATCTAGCCGCGTATCCTATATTAATATGACGTTCAAAATAACCAATAGCAATAATGGACAGACGATTTGCTTGACATCCCTCTTATTTTGAATCATGTAAATCGAGGCTGTATAACAATCTCTGTTTTTTTGTGGCTGACAGCCTGGACTGTCTGCAGAGAACTCGTCCACGACAATGGTGAGATATATATACACGAATGATTAAAAGTCAAATTTTATTGTATGTCCATGTTCCGGCTCTCTCGGATAATTTCTGCAATCTGTAATGCTAAACGAAGAATTTGTAAATGTTCGTCAGCACCATCGACAAGACACTTGTCGGTCTCTCCCAGATAATGTGCGATAATTGACTTTTCCTTCTGGCCGATTTGATCATTCTTAACTATGTTGTCATTTAACTAAAACGGGTAATGTTAATAATTGTATCCAGTATAAAAAATCATATATTACGACAATTAACTCATTTCTTTTAACACAGCGAATCCATACAGCCGCTTACCTGTGACAGGATTTGCGTCGCAGAGAACCCGCAGCTAACAATCCGTTCTACCATCTTTTCGATATTCTCGTGAGTATCAGCAAACATACTCGCGACGAGCTCATCAATGATATCAGACGGAACAACCTATTGCATGAAGCGAAAGTCTCAGTTCATCGTAGAATCACAAGCCCCATGTTAACGATCTGATCTATACGTACGCCCGCTATTTCCCGTACAGATTCTTTAGTAATCAAGTCATTCTTATGAAGCCGATAAGCACTTTGCAAATACATGATCGCCTTTCGCAAGTCTCCTTCCGAGTCACTAATTATTTCGTCAACAGCCTGATGCAATATAAACCGTTTTAGTAAAGAGGGTGAAATCGAGAGTTTGAGTTCTCGAAAATTACCTCGGGTGAACAGTTAATCCCTTCACGCTGACAAATTGTCTCGATCCGCTGTTTAGCACTATTCACATCCAGTGGTTTGAAGCGAAACTTTGCACACCTGGATGCTAACGGTTCGATAATACTAATGGCCGATATCGATTAACGTAAATCGCTTTCAGTAAAAAACAATCAAAAAAGTATCATACCGACTGATATAATTGCATATTAAGCAAAATCGCGTGATTTTCGAATATGATTCCATTGTGCGTCGTAAAGCCGCTTGTGCATCTTGAGTCATGGAATCCGCTTCATCTAATATGATTATTTTATAAGGCGGACACGGATACCCACTACAACAATACGAAACGCGTCAATCTAGTAGGAAAATCACACAAGCATACGTGCATACACACATGAAAGATGCCTCAGTCTGTTCGTACAATCATCTAACCTGACAGGATTACTGACTGTAACTTTAGCAAAATTCTTTACTTTCTCTCTTATTACTTGAATGCCGCGTTCATCAGATGCGTTTAACTCGAGAACACGGGACTTTATTAGCTGTGGACTATACAAAAAAGACAATTGGTCAGACGAAATCTCGACAGTCGCGAGCCGTATAAAACAGGGCATACCCATATAGCTCTCTTGACAGGGCTAATATTGCTGAAGTTTTACCGGTACCGGCTGGACCATAAAACAAGAGATGTGGTAACTGAATTCGTAAAGCGATTAGTTTTCTTCACAAGCGTTCCCATTTGATAAAGCATGTAGCATATACAACTTACATTACGACTCTCAATTGTCTTTTTTAATACGGCCACTGTCTGTTCTTGCGAACTTATATCGTCCATTGATTTGGGACGACTGAAACAATGTGTCAAATGAAGGCGTTCTACATTGTAAAGCAGACGAATAAACGCTATACAACATACTACTTCTCTATCCAAGGCTGTTCTTCATGTTCCGGTTCAACGGAACTTTTTTTAATAGCACCTAATTGAAAAAAAGTTATTCATTTTATAGAACTCGCATGTATCTTATTACAGCACGCGCGAGTATGGAAAAAGGGACGCGTTTGGCGAGGGCGTAAAGCAAGAAATGCTTGTTTTAAATCGGAATGTTGATCAAAGATCACACTTTTAATACAGATAGATATAGGTTACGTCACTGAACATCGACACTAGTTTATTAGAAAAACCAAACGACTAAAAAAAGCCCGAGCTTTTATGTACGTATCGGTATTGTAGGATAATATTGAGGAGAGAACAGATTGATTGGCAAGAATTCAATATACGTGACGGATTATTAATGTACGGGATGTAATAGTAAAAGTATATGAAGGGGGATAAAATCGAGTTTTCAAACTGAAATTATTGCTAAAAGAAAAAAATAAAAATAAAAGGCATCCACATTCGTAAAATGGATAGTTTTTGTTTTTGGTAGTTGGTAAATGTCCGAAACACTCATGCGTATAATGAGCATACAACATTCGTTATTAAGCGACAATAATCACTTTACAATAAGAGCCAGAAAGGAAGCAAAATAAACTATTAAAAAGCTAATGTAAATAAATAATATAAATAATAAAATACTACACTCTTGCAAGCTTTAACTGCTATTTTAACGCTTTTACTATAGTAAACAATTGAATACATTTTAAAACTATCACAATTAAGACGAAGTGGTGGCGGTCTCTGTGGTTGTGGTTGTGGTTGTGGTTATTGTCTCCTCAACAGTTGTCTCGACGCCTGTCTCACTAACGCTTGATGTTGTTTTTGTCTGTACATCAGTCTTTACGTCAGTCTTCACATCAGAATCAGTCTTCGCATCAGATTCAGGCTTCGTATCAGTCTTAACAACTTCAGCAGTTGTCTCCGCAACCTCAGTCTTCAACTCAGTCGTCACTTCTGTCACTTCGGTCTTTGCACCTTCAACCTTCACTTCTTCGTTAATTGATTCCTCCAAACTCGGTCCAGTCGCGGCTACTTCGAGCTTATCAACGGATCTCGATGTTTCTTCCTTCTTGTGGTCAGACTTCTTGGATTTCTTGCTTGATTCAGGCTTGGCATCAGTTTCGGGTTTAGGAAGTGTTTTTTGATATTCTGTAAGCTGCGTGTGCCATTGATTAAGCTCTTCCGCGCTTCGGAACATGAGTTTATACGTTCGGCTGCTGGTTACTATATCTATAGTATTGGACTTTTCGTTTTCGCTTTTCTTTATTTCGCAATCTGCTGTGATTTTAATTTCCTTGGACTTTGTGGCATCCTTTTTAGATTTATAATACACAATATTTCCTTCTTTAGTGAAAACGAAGAACCTGGACTCTGTTTTCTTAAAGATTTGCGATGATTTGTCGAATGAGCCCGTTATGAAAGCGTTATCAACTTGTTTTTTGATCTCTGGATCGTATTCTTCTTCGGCCTTCACTTCGGTGGTTTCCGTAGTACCGGTTGTCTCAGTGGTTTCGACAGTCTCAGTCTTTTCTTGAGTCGCTTGCGTAGTTGACTCTTCTTTCTGTGCTCCCGCAGTCTTCTCTTGAGTTGCTTGTGCAGTTGCCTCTTCTTTCTGTGCTACCGCATCTGACTGTGAGTTGGTTCGTTTAGGCATAATGTTGACAAGTCTATGTGGAATGAAAAACCATATTAGCATAATCACGGTTATTAATTAATAAGAGAAATTGTATTCTAATCAAGAAACCTTTTTCTTATCGGTTCTTCCCACTTCTTCATAAACGATTTAACGGGTTTTTCTTCCTTTTTATCGGACGTCTCCCCCGTCGCAGATTGTTCGGTAGTTTCGGTAGTTTCGGTCTTTTCAACAACTGCTGATGTCGATGCTTCGGCAACAACAGTGGTGGTCGTTTCTACAACCTCAGTCTTGACTTCCTCAGTGACTTCTTCTACTTTCTTTTCGGTAGTATCTGTCTCGGCAACTTTCCTGCTCGGTCCCCGCTTCCACATACTCGTGATCTTGCGGCTAAGACCACTAACAACCTGTGGTGTTTTGCCTTTTTCATCACCAGATGTAGCGTCTTCTTTCTTTTCCTCCTTGGTTTCCTCCTTGGTTTCCTCCTTGGTTTCCTCCTTAATTTCCTCCTTTTTAGTTTCCTCCTTAGTTTCCTCCCTAGACTCTTCCTTCTGCTCTTCCTTGTTGAAGAAATGGAAGAAGCCAGATTTCTTCCTAACCTCTTCAGTAGTTGTAGCAGATGTACTGGTCTCTGCGACAACAGTCTCAGTAGTTTCTTTCTTAACCTCGGTAGATTCTTCTTTCTTAGGTTTCCCAGAGATGAAAGTAGTCACGGAAGAAGTAAAGGATGACATAATATTCTTCTTGCCAGCACCCTCATCTGTCTTGCCGACATCTCTAGTAGTGGTCTTGGATTCATCAACAACTTGAGTCTCGGCGGCGGCGACGACGGTTTCGGTGACTGTTTCGACCTTGTTAGCAGTACCTGATTCGCTGGTTTCGGTAGTGGTTTCAGTAGTGGTCTCCGTGGTTTCAATGGTCTTTTTTGTAAGGAAATTACCGAATGGGAAGATAGACTTGCGTTTGACCTCGGTGTTTGTTGGTTTAGGCGATGCAGGCGGCTCGTCGTCGGTTGAAAGCGTATCGACCGCAAAAGTGCCTTTAACTATTGATGAAAAAATTTCAAATGTTAGTGACTTGAAGTAATAACTCAGTAATATTGAAATTGTAATGATTGGAAAAAATGCAAAGTAAACGATATATAATGTCATGAATTACGCTTTCATAACCCTCTAAAAGCCTTTTTTTTTTTGGAATTAAAACAAAATCGAACTATCCACGTATATGCATCATAACACCTACCAAGTTCCGCGTAAACCTCTTTATAAGAATCAGTCTGCTCAAAATCGACAGACATCTTTTTAGCATCTTCAACCTTTGATTTGAGCACCTGGATCCATTTCTTTCGATCATCGTCTGAAGCAGCATTGAAAATATAAACCCGATATGGGGTCTTCAATTTAAACGCCCAGGATTTGTCATCAGTAGCGACAATCGATTCAGGATCGACATCGCGAAGGTTAATGATGCCTTGGGGAGATTCACGTTGGGGTTCTTTCTCTGATTTGTAATAGAACAAAAGACCCTCTCCGGTTTGAGTAGCGTGAGCGATGGCTTTAATCAAAGCCTCGCCCAATTTACTGTCATCATCGGCCTTCTTTTCTTCCGTAGCAGTTGAAGCTTCGGGTTTAGCTTCAGCTTCGGGTTTAGTTTCAGTTTCGGGTTTGGCTTCAGTCTCAGCTTTGACTTCAGCTTCTGGTTTGGCTTCAGTCTCAGCTTTGACTTCAGTTTCGGGTTTGGCTTCAGTCTCGGGTTTTGCTTCAGTCTCGGGTTTAGTTTCAGTCTCGGGTTTTGCTTCAGTCTCTGGTTTAGCTTCAGTCTCGGGTTTAGCTTCAGTCTCAGGTTTAGCTTCAGTCTCAGGCTTGGTTTCCGCAGATTTTTCCGCAGATTTTGATTCAGCTGGGGTGGCTACTTTGGGATGAATTAATTTTTTGTTTTTTGAATAGAAATTGTGGAGCAGTTCCTTGTCCAATTTCTCATCTCCAAAGACAAAATATCGTTTATTCCAGAGTTTGACGAGTCCATGACTTTGTTTGTAGAGGACACGGCTTACATTGGTTTCTTTCTCGGTTTCTTCGGTTGTCTTCTCTGTTTGCACTTTTTCTTCCTCTTTAGCAACTTCCGCCTCTATCTTCTCTTCTTTTTTCTCGACAGTCTTTTCTTCAGACTGTTCAGTCGTTTCTACTTTAACTTCCTCTTCCACCACTTGAGTGACTACTGTGGTGGTAGTAGTCTCGCTGGTTACAGTTTCAGTTCCTTCGGCGCTCATTACGTGTTCAGATGAGAATGCGTATTATAAGGATTATTAGTATTGAGTTTAGTAGGAGTGAATTATTTGTGTAGTGTGTAATATTAGAGTAGTAACGTATAATTAAGATTTGTAGGGGGGGTGGAGAAGACGGGGAAGGAGGAAAAGAAAGTATTTAGCAATAAGAAAAAAAATACGGCTGAAGGTATTTTGTTTATATAGTGTTGTTGGTATTACACAATATATGTTGGAAAATATTTATAGCGTGATCATATGCGGCTATCACACACACATCCACATAGGCACACACATATCCGCACATCCATCCATATCATCCACATTCACACAATACCTCTGAAATATGCATAGTAATACATGAGTGATACAGTAAGCTACTAGTATTCAAACACTTACCATTATACAGGAATTGTGCAGGAGAAATTTTTTTTTTTTTGAACGCCTAAAGCTGATGGAACAGTTCACAATCGAATGTGATTGTCTGATTCGATTCGAACGTAATGGAAGGGCTGGAAATGAAAAAAAAAAAATGAATATTTATTTATGTATGCGTTCATATATTGTATGCATATGATATAATATGTATATATTTATATTGCACATGCTTTGTACATGTAGGTAAAGATTACATATATGTCATTTTCACTTGTGATATATTAGTACAAACGCTTGATTGGATGTGATTGTAATTGTAGTGAACGTCATTACAAATTACTTGTTACCTGTAAGCGAAGAAGAGAGAAACTACATGGGCAGAGAGAAGGATATGATGTGATGATAGGAGGCGGGTAACAGACTTCTTTATTTAGACAATGATAAAGAACATGTCACAATGAATAAAGCGTGGGAAATTGTGATGCTATCTCAATCGTATGTTCTTCCATTGCTGCGGTATCTGCGCTGTCCTGCGTATAAACAGATATAGACAGATAGATAAATAGATAACGAAATAAAATGCCATCACTGCTTGTGTTTTGTAAAAATAATAATAAGGGCTATAATAATTATTTTTTATTGTTATTCTATTTTTCTTTATTTACTACGATAAGGAGATTGATTGTTATGATCGATGTGAGCATTGTGTAACTTGTTCGACTATGATATAATCTGATGGTGTATTCTATCCAATTGACAAAACGTCTGTTAATAATAAATACTTTAAGCAAGCCATACCAAATTACCCGCTTGTCTCATGTATACAAATCGGTCGAGCTTTGGTCTGTTTATCGTTTTTGGCTATCAATTCTCGGATGCTTGTCGCCAAGTAGCATAAGGTTTATTCGAAATGTAGTATGAAAAACGTGCGTATAAATGTTAATATAAATAAAACGGGGACTGCGTATGTGTTGTGAGTAACACATTCCATATTGGCAATATTGATCGTCGCACTGCTTCTGAAGTGGAAAAAAAAAAGGAGAAGTTGAATGTATAATGGATAAATAAACGCAACAACAAAAAGAGGCAGGAAAGACGAACGACAAGGTGAGATGACGTAACAAGACAAGCAGCGGCAACAACAACAACATCAACATCAACAACAACATCAACATCAACATCAACATCAACATCAACAACAACGTCAAGGACAAGATGAGGAGAGTGACAAGAGCAGCAGCAACAGAGACAACATCAACATCAACAACAACGTCAAGGACAAGATGAGGAGAGTGACAAGAGCAGCAGCAACAGAGACAACAACAGCAACAGCAACAACAGCAACAGCAACAATGTACAAGATGACCGACAGCTATGGCAACAACGTCGAGAACAAGATCACCAACAACAACGTCAGCAACAGATACAGTAACAGCGACAGCAATGGCAACAACGACAACATTGTCATTATCTACTCAACAATATTTCACATTGACATTGTATTGGTATATTGATATTATATATATTAATTGGGCCTCAGTTAATGAAAATAATTGCGCCTTTAGACTTCATAGTTTACTTGCTTTATATGGTCCAGTGCTGTCATTCAATGTCTACTGCTGATTATACTGTGATGCGGGGGAATCCATTGTTGGTGAACAAGTCTTATTGGTGTGTAATAACATGGGCGAGTAAATACGCACACGCATATACACACATACATATATATACATATACATATATATACACATATATACTCTCATACTTATACACATATACACATACCATATACATACCATATACACACATACCATACACACATAACACATACATACTCTCACACATATACATATACGCATATACACACACAAATAGTAAAGGTGAATAAAGGAAACTGAAAAATGCTCGAGACAGATTCTAACCACGGAACGAATGCTCGAATTCCATGCCATGGCTGTGTGACAGCTAAAATAACAGACAAAATAACAGTTCATTCTGTGACGAACTTGTTCGCAAATACTTTCTTTGCCTTGCCAATTAACACCTACCATCACTCTCTTTCTACTCACTGCTGATAGCAATAGCTACACTCATTTCTGAAAATTACACATCGATTTCCTTCGCCTCTCCACATTCGTTCTTCTGTGGACACTTGGCAGATACCGTTGTTCTTTCCCTTACAAATAAGAATTGCTGATAAAAACGAATTATTTACTACATTTGGATAAAAAGTGCACAAATTTTATGTGGGGTCTCACTACCGATATTGCTATCACTATTTACAGTCACACTACACACATCAAAACGTTGAATTAATTAGCAAGACTAATCGGATGGACAGAAAGACTTTTTAGATTAATGTAAACGTTCAACAAGGTCAATGTATAAATGACCTAGTCATGAACAAATTAAGTAATTGACATATGGAGATGCAATGCATTAAATGAACATAAGTATGCCGATTGCTGAATAAGAACAGGTAACCATTAATTACGATAAGCGTATTGATTAATTTGTGCTTTACTATAATTGGTTATATGCCGTATTCTAAGTTCCTCTAACTAAACCCCTTTTCTAATTCGGGAAGAATGCTTTCTTTCCATTATGGAATTTGGCTATCAAACTTACTATAATTAAACTCGCTTAAACACCATATTAAGCATTTTCCATCTTCGATATTGCAGTTCATATGTTCCCCCCACCCCCCGTCTTTCCTCTTCCACCATCACACCTCCATTCTATTCCATCCACCACGATCCACAGTGCACAAATGTTTGTTTGCTTCGTAGACAATACACAATACATCAAGAAATATATTAAATCTTAAAATACTTATATATGTTATGTGATATTTCCACCAACTACTAAATAACCTGAATGTAATCCTGAAATAACATCCTTAACTTGCACAAATAATGTAAGGGGTGGGAGGATATATCGACGTTGAAGAATACAAAAGAACGTCATCTAAATATATATTAGATAATTATACATAATTAACCCTATTGTTAAACTACATATTAGTTTATCAGAGTTATCTTCTTACAGATTGTCCGCATACCGGTACGAACATTCGTATTATTCACAAGACCACTCGGCTGATCTCTGATGATCCGCCATTCACTCGATATAGTGTTCACACTATCCCCATCACAATACTCGCATCTAAATCAATTGTACGTCTACCAATCAAACCTATCCTAAAATTATTAACTCTTCAATTCTCATAAAGGAAGACAGGGTGGTTCATTCTTTTATGATATCGAACTCGAAGGCATTAGCATTAATTTCGACTAGTCTTTTTTTTTCTTTCGGTCAAGCAATCAAATTTAATAAACGAGTAAGCAGGTAATGACGCTATTAAACCGTCTCCAATTAGTGGGCGATATTCGCACTGTTCATCAAAATGCATACCGTACATATAATTACACTAAATAGCCCGATAAGACATCGTCCCAACAGTAAATTAATATCGCAATGGGGTTTTGCGTTACGGATAAAGTTAGTTAATCAATGATGCAATCTTATTGTATGGTCACAGAATCAGATGATGTCATGTTGCCAAGGGCGGGCTCACAAAGTCGTAATCAAATACCTTAATTGTCAGAAGAAAGGAAAAAAGTAACAAAAAGACACAGGATAAAGAGGAGGAAACGACGAGTTAAAAAACATGGTTTACGAGTTTGGATAAAAAAAAAAGAAGATATTTTCGGGAGTCACAGGTAATCTATATTTATAGTTGTTTGGCCCCTTACCTGCTGGCAAAAAAAAAAAAAAGGACTGGGAATTTTCTAAACTATCTCATCTAACCCTTTCAAATAAATTTCCAAATTGGACATGATATCATATAGTTCGGATGAGACCTTTTTTTCCAAGTCAATTAACATATAGGGAGTAGACTGCAACAAAAGCCAGGCAAACTGAATGTTTGATCAACATGGCTGGTGTGGTTGAGAAAACACTGATAACATATTGGGAAGCTTTGTTTCAGTGGCACAATTGTGGCTCCATGGATTAAATTTTTATTAATACATGGCAAACATGACTACAATTCCAAATTGATTGAGATGAAAACTGATACTGCATAATAACATGTTTCATATCTATATAAAAAATATACCATTGGCAGTAACTAAACTGATTAAACACTCAAACACTATCTGGTGGGGAAAAATGCATATTACTTCTACGTATACATGTGAATATAAAACATGTTGCTTATCATCACACTTATTTGGCTCGAACAAGCAGAAACGTTAATCAAGTTCTGCAACCAAATACTACTGTTTAAAAGAAACAGATAATTGATTATTTCTACCAAAAACACTTATTTGAATGACATCAATGCTGTTGACCAAGAAACTTGAAAAAAATTATGCAAAAAAAAAATTGATTGCTGTGATTGCTATTAGAAGTTACTAAGAAATGTGAAGAGGTAGCAATCTGGTTTAATATTAATAATCAACTTTGTGAATCAGAATTTTAACTATACTTTCCCCCAGATTTGAACTACAAAAGTGGTAAAAATCCACAAAAACAACCAATTTGATGGCACCATAAAAAACAAAAAACTAGGAGACTCTGAATATTACTATAAAAACTGAATTAGAAAATCAATTTGTCAAGAGAAAAAGTTTACAGAATGGTTGTTTGTGGAGCAATGTTTATGTTGTGTTCATATTCATATGAATCATGTCATCTAGCACTTTTTATACTTATTTGGTGTCTGTCATATTTTATGCTGGTTGGGACAAGTAATGTTCTGACAAATAAACAAATATTTTTATAATATATTCTTGCCTTTTGTACTCTATGGAGATGGTGTTAATACTACGTATTTAAACATAAAATAGATAGAGCTTTAATGTTACTTTTTAATAACCTCAGAATATGCTTCGACAAAGAAAGTTTTACATTGAATTAGATAAAGTACATAACATATACAGATAAGAGCTTAATTAAATTAACAAACAATTGTTATAATTATAATTAGAACTTTTCGAGTCAAAATTTCAACAATATGATTCACACAATCTACATACTATAGTCGCTTTGCGATATAGTTTTTAATCAATCCAAAATAAAACTTGAATTTAGTGTGTTCAGGTAGCATAAAATTTAATTTACTATTTTCACAATATACCCGCAAATTACTAGCATCTAATAATTTTGTAGCTGTCGGCAATCGGGTTGAGAGAGAGAGAGAGAGAGCGATAATCTTTCGCGTAGTGTGTTCGCCGACACTTTTAATTTAACCTCAGCTCACCGCCCTTATTTCAGTGAGTGCTTTTGCGACAAAATCTAAAATTACAAGTGACCTAACTTAATTATTTAATGTGCGCGCTTCTTTACTCCCCATACGACGTACCTCCCCGTACTCGTATCCAAATAAGGGCACCATGATAATTATTCTAATTTAATATAGCGCGATCTTCGATTGGTATGTTGACTAGTCGGGGTAAGCGTCATTTGCCTATTTTGAACTAATTAAACCATAATCGTTTACAATATTAATTATAGACTCTCGTTTCGCTATTCGCGTAATTGATCAATGAATATTTTACAGCCGAAATGAGCCGTTTATATATCAGTCGCTACAGCTTAATGAACCGTTTATGCCAGAACCTTGCAGATTTACGGGAGCCGTTTTTATATGCATATCCAGTTAATTAATATTTCAACGATAAAAGAAAAAGAATAATTTAACTTTAAATAATATTCAGTAGATTAAAAAAAATCTTATCTTTCGTTTCAACGCATGAATTTTTCTGAAACAAAAATGCTCGTTGCGAAAATGACTAAGAACGAATAAATCCAAAGCTAGTTATAGCGTTTGTACTGACACTGAAAATCGACAATATTTTGCGCCTGACACGGATTTTCCGGCGACGCCGTGCAGTAGTAACTATTCTAAATTATAGGGTTTTTTAACCACCTCGCTGTTGCTACCAAAAATAGCCACTGCTACACTTCTCCCTCCATACACACCAACACTTCTCAGATACGACAATACATGGATCTTTGCCTAACTAATAGAACCATCTTCAAATTGTTTCCGTCAAAGTTTAACTTTTGCTCCTCAATTAGTCACATCAAGAACATCTAATTATAATAATAAGGGCTCAATAGACCAATCCTGGTCCGGAAATTGATATTTGCTCAGTATTCTGCAAACCGCTGTCAATGCAAACTTTGAGGCCACAGTGAAACCGATAATGGCCTACCCATTTAGTTCTAGCCTTGTATTATGTGACTTGCCGAATAATTTCGTGGTGCATGTAATTATATTACTATCCCTCTCTTTTTTTTAAAGTCCTTCAATATCCAGTCTTAATTATTTCCTTACAATAAATGGGTTTGAGTTCAAGTTTACTAATAATATTCAACACTGTCTAAGATTATCCCAGCCATCATTATTTAATTCTTTAACGCAAAAATTAGCGCAATCAATTTTTTAAAAATTATAAGCCACTTTTTTGGTGACAATATAATGGACGTGCCAACATCCGTTGAAAGCCATGGAGATAGTAATAATTGAGTGAAAAAAAGGGAATTCTTGTACAAACAACTCAGAAAAGTGTCCTAATAGTTCTACTATCCAGTATGGAATGTCTATCTCATGTTTAGTCAATAACGATGCATCGAAATAATGCAAGCGCATTGAATATGTCTGTCGTATGTTTACGTAGTATCGTTGAAGATTGAACCAAACACCATATATTAACGTACTTTGAGAGTAAATTTAAACTTGACCAGTATGACAAGGCGTCGATTAATCGAAGCCAAGCAAATACTTGTGTTAAGATATTCGTTCTGTTGAGAGACTGCTAAAAAGGTTGTTTGGTTTTCGCATTCAGATTTTACCTTGTGTGGTATTGACAGAGACAGATACTTGTTTTTGTGCGTGAATGAACGGATAGCTATAAATAAAACTATTTTATATATGCCTTTGGTAAAACGAATGGTATGTGATAAGAAACCCGAGTCGGCGCGATAAAAGTCGCGTATTACCCCAATTTGGAAATTTCCGACCAGTATATGACTTTTCCAAACTCAACACATGTTGTGTATTTATAGCATTATACGTAAAGCATGTAATTGATAATGTTACGCCAGTTTTAAGATATGCGGGGTTGTTGTAACAATACCATTTTAGTCCCTATTGAAGAAAAGAGTCTGTAAACGTGCTAAACGTAAAACATTTGACTTAAAAAAGGAAAATTCTAATAAACTAAAATAGTCGAATGACACAATTCTATTTATATATTATGCTACCTTTCACGCGATCGAAGGAAGTACTTCTCAATCTCATAATACTGTACTCTTGTCTTATGACCGATCAAAGAAATTAAATGACACGCATATAATCTCTTTGAATCTGCTTAACCTGATAGTACGACAAATATTCATTAGACGATATAATAACAAATCATCGCCAATAAACATATAACAGCAGGGTTGTATTCACGATCCCCCCTTTATTAGGGTAGTATGACTTTATTACAGAAGAAAGCACAGCTTTCTACCTAATATTTAATGGTCAATTACAATAAAGCTTACACATGCATATATAAGCAGATACGTTAAATACTACTTCCATACAGGTCGCTACAACCTGAAATATCATAATTATTTGAAAATTGATAAAAGTAAATATTAATATTAGTATTAATTATTACAAAAGATATCCGCTCGCGCAATCGGCTCGCTTCATATTAATTGACTACTTTTGCCGCACCACCCAGAGTTACACTTGATTTTCAAACTAGAATTATCATAGAAATGTCCCCGCCTTTGGGGAATTCTTGTCGATCCCCTCAGCATCACCTAAACTCGCGTTGTCCCCGATCCGTAAAGAGTTCCAAGTTTGGGTAGAAAATAATCACTTGACATTGTATTAGAAGCAGGTGAATGCGGCTTGACAACAGGTCTAAGCGGCGGTGGAGTAAATGTAGAGCGATATGAGTCATTGCGATAAAAACTAGCGACATCTTCATCCCTCTTAGTCATATAGTATGTATCACGATCGATACTTGCAGCATCCTTCTGGTAAGCATCACGATTGTCCTGGGAAACGTGTGAACTCAAACGAAGACCGTTAACAACTCTCCAAATATCATTAGTTTCGTCATGACCTTGCGGTGACGCTGAAGAAAATCCAGCGGAATCTCTTCTTTCCTCGGCATACTGATACAAATCGTACAAACTTTCTGCATAAAAACTCTCGGGAGTGGACTTCATTCGATGGTCATCTACAGAATCCTTCTCTTCAGTGTTCATTGCAACTTGGTTTGTAGTCTTGGTAGTAGGAGTATTTTTAGTCACGCATTGTTCCACGAGCCATTTACGACCTTGAGAACCGATAGTGATTCTGTTATTGTTATTTGCATTACCATAACTGGAATCTGTTTCAGGTGATTCTTGCGTATCCTCCGGACGTTGCGTGACAATTATCGTATTTTTAACAAAAGACCGCCTACGTCTCTTACCATCCTTACTGGCATTAGCGCCATGCCCACGTTTGTCGCTTACGCGACGTTCTACTTTATCCGAAAGATCATATTCGTATTTAGTAGTGGCATTTCGATCAGCAAAGTTGTTAAGTGCAGAAAAGATCTTTGAGGCAACGGTAGACTCGGTTTTCCGACGAGGAGCATCATCCTTTTCGTCTGTTTCGCTAAACGCGGGTTGATTCGGCGAAAATGCACGCCCGAAAGTTGACTCATTGGTTATTGTGAAACTTGGGCTAACGGGTGTAGTAGGAGGAGTACGAAGCGAATAATTTCGACTAGCTGTTATTTGTTCTTCTTCTTCTTCTACCAGATCGGTATTCTCTGATGAGTTAAGGTTCCATATCGTTTTCTCCTTTTGGGGAACCGACACGAATCTCTTAACATTTTCCGCGTGATGCTTGATAGAGTTGATATCACATAGAGGTTCGCCGGGATTCTTACCTTGTGGTACCGTGTTATTATATGTTTGAGGTAGGTCTGGTAACTGTTTGTCGCGTATTCTATGCTTCCCCTGCTCAATCGCAGTAGTTGTAACAAAGCCCTTCGCAAATTGCCCTTGCGACTTTTCACCTGCCGGCTCCATCCCATATACTGGAAATGGGGTATCGATATGAAATCGTCTTCTAAGAGTTTCTTCCGAAAAGTATTTACATAGAGATGGCGTCATTAACACTTCTGGTTCCGAGATGTTCAAGGTGCGTTTATGTTCATCTTGTGCGAATACTTCTTTGAACTTTTTTATGGACCTGGTTATTCCGGTAGCATCAATTTGAAGTTTGTTGGAGGAGGCCTTTGAGTCCTCTTCTGGATTCAGGTGTACGATGGGAACCGTTTTGATATTGGAAGTACTGGAGACAAGTACTGGTTGCGAGATTTTGGGCATCTTTTTGAGTTTGTTTAAACCAAATTTTCGTGTCGGCGATTTGGGCGATTCTGGTTCTGGAAACGCATTGGCTCTGCGAACAGCAAGGGCTTGGTTAGCGACATCTATTTGGCCGTTTGCAATCAATATATCAGTTAATGACATCGGTGGAGGCGGAGGCTTCGGGTGCGTCTTGCCACCTTGTTCGAATGGTTGGGTATTTGATGGCAAAGATCCTGGATGCGCGTTAATGTTTTCATTATCGCGGCCGATATTGCTATCCCTGATTTCGTTGGCGCTGTTTGCATCATTGTCGGTACCGTCGCTCCTCGATACGGACGTAACTGAATAAGTCGTTAACTGATATTGTATGAATGGTGCAGCAGATGCAGATGTCTCATTATCATTATAATTGTCATCATCGTAGCTATCGAATATGCCATTTTCAGTGACAATATCTTCAGTATCCTCAAACATGGTAATTTCCTCTGGGCGCTCTTTCGATAAATTCGTGTTATGTCTTTGCATGACAGAACCCCCGGCATGTGACTGATACTGGGCGTCATAAGGACCATTAGAATATTTCCATTCATTTGGAGTTGGCGCGTACGAAGGGTTGTTTACCAGTTGATTGCCTGAGTGGGTATTTGCCGGCTGGATCGTGTTTGAATTAGAGGATGGCTTTGTTACCGCAGGGTCATTTGAGCCAGAATCGTTGAATAAAGATGACAAGAAAGTGTATTTGGCCTCATCGATATTAGGAGTAGCTTGATCATGCATGGAATAGTCAATAGAAGATGATTTATCTAACGTCTGACGACCATTATCCAAGATAGGATATGCGGGATACGGGTGATCGTTTGCGGAAGCATTAGGTATAACATTAGACGTCGTAGAACTTTCCCCTTCTTTATTAACATGACTAGAGTCTGTCGTTGAATGCTGTATCGCTGAGCCTTCGCTCAGGTTTTGGACTTCCCCATAAGCATTCATAACCTTATTCTCAATCACACCCCTATGATTCTCTCCATCATGTGCCGTGTTGGGCGTAGATAAATTATAGGACGATAACGAGTGTAATGATTCTGTAGTAGAAGCACGCTGTACGACTATAGTCGGTACAGAGACGGGTGGTTGCGAACGTTTAGAGTAAGAATCTGACTCAAATGATATAGAGTCTTTCCTACAGAGGTCATTAGCATCTTTGCGCATGTTTCTGTTGTAATACATTACTTCACTTATATGATATGCTGTGTTGTTACGACGATTTGTAGCAGGTGTTTGAAGCGCCAGATTATTTGTCTCTGATCGTCGTATGAAGTAGAATCCATTGACATTGTTTGGTGGTTCCTCCTTGTTTTCTTGAACGTCGTCGGGTGATATTGAGGGCGAAAAAGTGTTCTGTATAAAGATATTTTGTGGATTGTTTCCACCAGTAAGTTTCGCGTTCGTCATTGATGTATCTGGCGAGACAGCTTTTGAGTCTGAAGCGGTGTATGTTAATGGTGTTGGGGATGAAAATGTTTTTGGTTTTTCTTGACGCCGGAATTTCTTTTTTAGTTGAGGAAAACCGAGCGAAGTGCGAAAGTATGATGATACGAAATATTGATGTAAGATATCCTCTGCGGGTGACTGTCGTCGCATGTTGGAGATTTGGCTAGGGTCTTTCTTTGTGAATTTGTGCATTTTAGCTGGGGAAGTGAGACTAATGTGTATGAGTGAGGTGTGAGAGTTGGTTGTAAGACTACTAGTATGTTAATTGCGATTTAATTATTATTACTATATTATTATTATTATCATTATATTTCAAGAGCGTCGTCTAGACGTCTTTTCTATATAGACAGGGAAACGACCAAAGTCTTCCGTGCTGACAAGTATTTTCCGACATACACAATGACATTGTATTATATATATCGACGTTCCATATGAATGCGAGTTGTTCTAATTTAACCAAATATTCATCCACGTCCCCGGGACCATCCTAAAAGAGAGAGATGTTAAAAATTGACGGATTGTACACCGTTGTGTTTCACGTGTTAGAATACATATGAATGCATGTTTGTCGGACTGACTTTTTTGGGAAGGGCGAATGTATTTTATGATGTCGACCCAGCATAATTTCAAAATGCTTTACAACGATTCGCTACTTTGATAATAATTTTTGTGGCATATGCTGACCGTTTGTACTCATTATGTTGAATAATTAGAATAAATCTGACACATATCGACATATTACTAGTTAAGTATTTATAAATGCCTGCTCAACATAGGATGCGACCCTTCCATAATTCTTAATTATCCCACCCCAAATGCACCTAATCGTGGAATTCCTTCCTCTGTAATTATGAGTGACATGGTTAATAACTTGTGTCATAATTGCTGCTCGCGAGGAAACATAATTCACACATACAACACAACACGCTATTCCAGTGAGACATTTGCGCTTATACGCATAACCTCTTTCTTAACACTTGCGCCAATATGGTTTTATATGTTGATCAAACGACTACTCCTGAATGGCCAAAAAAAGACAATTTATCAATAAGCAATTAATTTGGCAATTGTTTCTCCTCAAAAAAAGCTTTACGCTTCTAATTATTACATAATTGTTCCAAGAGTTTCTATATCCGCGTTTTGTCGGTTGTCTATGCAAACTTTGTTTAAAGTGCTAAAGATTATCTTTTTAAATTTCCATTTGCAATCTCCAACAATCGATGTTCAAAAAAAAAATAACGGTTTATTATTTTATTGACTGGTATATTTAACCACTAATGTTTCAGGGGTTGCACTTGGTTAATAAGTTTAGTAAAAGAATATATGTTTGATAATATACTGGTTTGCTTGCTAAGCTGTCACTGCAATGAGCTAATCGAGTATATAATATATAATATAGTGTTATAATTAGAATACTATTCACATGTCAACGATGATTTGCTTTTTCAAGTGTTACTAGTTTCGATACTTTTTTCTAATGTTAATATTATAATAAATACCCTCAAAACTAACTATTAATTTATTGGCCGATGTTTTTCCCTTAATTGTTTACCACATTTTGGGAATATCGATATTATTTACTATGTAATTTGCCGTAATATCTTGTATATCTAATTTCTTTAATTTTTTTTAAACTCTATTAATATTAAGAAAGCAATTAATCTGTCCTGGAGATTCTGTGGTTGAAGAATAATGTACATTGAAAAAAAAAATTATTTGCAAGTTTTGCTTTATTTGGGATAATAATAAGACAAAGTGTCATATTCTTAGGTTTACTTTGATAGTTTATATGCGCCGAAGATAGACAAAAAAGCAGAAGTAGTTGCAAAGGTTTATGAATGAAAGTATAAGTCAAGAGATGTCTTCAATGGCGTCATTCTTCGATGGCGAGCCTGTTTATTATTATTGGCTGTTTAGATTCACAATGAAATCAGCGCTGTTTAAATAACGGTTTATCGTTTCACTAACTGGGCAAGCGCATAATATGTATACACTATGGCGAAATGTCACACAAACGGATACTAATCAATAAATATAAACTGAAAGGATTCCACCTTGCCACGTTAAACCATTTAGTAATAGTACTTACTACCTGTCTAAATCACTCAATAAACAAAGAGTTGTTTACTAGGCACGTTTGTTTTCGGTATATATACGTTGGTGAGGAAACCATTGTAGGCTTAAGGTTGTGAAAGGGAATTAGAGAAAGCACTCTATGTATAATTGGTGGTACTTAAGAAATATTTTGCATTTTGTTGTCTACAACATAACTCGGTGCTCTTTCTCATTTAATCAGAATTAGGTATATTAAGATTCAAATCCTTAAATGCAGCCGAACTGCTCATAACGGTTATGACATACTTTCATAAGCTTCCAGTTGACTCTGATAATTTCCGCATCTAATAATATCGTAACTAGCACATTAACGTGTTGGTAGTGTAGACCGTAGGAACTTGCGATGGACAGTTGAAGATGTCAAAAAATTGAACGGAAAGGGAAGAAGACAGCACTCCGAATAAAGCAATCACGATTAATTTAGCAGGGTTACATTTTATGTACTAACCAATGGGTTACACAAATTAACAGGGCGCCGATAGTATTATTCAATCAATGACGTAATGTTAATATTTCGTTCTTCTGTTTTACAACACGGAAATCATGCATTCGTGCTAGTTTATTCCGTAACTTTACACATAGAAAACTCTCTTTATATTAAAGATATTAATGGCTCTATTCATGTCAGTGGGTCTTCTGCTAAAAACATTCCTTAAACCCAACTTCCCTCTTGCACATTTAAACCGAATATGTAATATTTTATGAATTTATTCGACCTACACCCAGATTAACGCAAGCAATTGCTTTCTAATACATATCGATATAATGACAAAAATTAAGTAATGTTATTGCAAAATTAATCCTTGTTCTGAACGTTTTTTTCAAACAAAAATCCCTAATCCTTATGCGTCCCTTTATTTTGGCTTCGTTCTAATTCTATTGTCTGTGCTAGTGAATACGATACGTTACAAAATCGTATAAAGTAAACGACAATCGCTGATACACTTTTGTTGACTACACGATGTAAAATTTAAGAAAAATTAGCCAATCGCAGAGGAAATTGCCCAAATATTGCAACCAAAACAAGACTTACCGGATGGAACGAATCCCAAAAAAAGAATTTGGATGGATCTATTTACATACAAGTAGAAAAACAAATGAGCATATTTAGTGTTTATAAAATGGATGTTTTTACAAGTCTATAGTCATTTTTCTGCACTATTTTCTTTTCGCCAACGCTTACCTTTGCATACTATGTTGATAGTATTCGTATCACCTGGAGGGTGAGTGATGCAGGGATTGGTGACATCAGTTATTCCAAGTTGCGCTGCCGTCTGCGGTTGTTGTAGGGCAGCAAGCACTTCACCCAGCGGGAATAGTGACACTTTAGCACCATTGCCTTGCTTGTTCCAATTATCGGCAGCAGTAGCAAGAGCGGCGTTGTGTGCAGCGCTGATTGCTTTAAGCGCGGACTGATCTGCCGCTGGGAGAGCACGTGAATACGGAATCAAGGAGATATCATAGAAGGTGTTGGTTAGGATATGTTTGGCCCCGTATGATGCAAGAAGTGACCACGCCCTTGATAAGTTGGAGACTACAACTTGGGGATCTGCTTTTGGATTGTCGAACTGATGATGAAAAGAGAAGTTGATTAATCCATGTTGGAATATTATCGACTTTTTTAATTTCGATAAAAGAGTCTCACATAATCATTGCCCTGATACGATATGACAAACAATATCTTGTCAAAGTCTACATTCTGTAACGCTTTTGGTCCATATATTTTTGTAATCTGATCGATAACACTGGCGACAACGGTAGTGTAGTTAAAGCCTGATACGCCTGTTAAGAATAGCACAAAGATCAGCTTACGAGAATATGAACTCTGTTGCCTATGATCTATTGATATAATGTTGCAATATCACGATAAACTGTTTGATACTACTTACCAGTTACATAGGCGTTATCACTAGTTGCTCCGCCCCACGCATAATCGTACAAAGCGCTATTCAATAAATCTGACAAATACTCCACCCAGACTGGGCCATTTGAGTAGCGACCATTGTAGTATGGTGGGGAAGGAGGATACGTATGATTGAGGTACGTGTAGGTTCCGTTGCCATTATCACATGTGCTATCACCGAATGCCTTAATAATAATTATTATTATCAGTTTTAGTTTAGTAAACAACAAAATTTTTTGATGTTGATCAGCCACTCACCACAATCGTGTTAAATTTCGAAGCACCCGCGCGACTATGTATGGGAATACCCAAACAGCCAGCAATAGAGACAAGAATTACAAATGTAATAAGGACGCTTTTATTTGTCTTCATCGTTTCGGCACAGTGGGGTGTTTGCTGAAACCTGTCTTCTTTATATCCTAAGCCATGTTGCGCAGCGATGCCTATAAATAACATTTATGGTGGCTTTTATGGTCAATTCAAAAGTGTATCCGACTTGTTACATGCATCAAGCCAAATTATTTTCTTTTTTAGGTAGTGTAATTTGACGAATAGGGTGGTGGAAAAAGATATGCCGAATACATTCCCGATTATCCGTCAATCGCATTAGTATGACAGCATGTCAACACCGCCGTATGAAATGTATGACAGGGTTGTCCCAATAGTAATAAGGGAACCAGAACTTCTCACTATTTTATGGGACTGATGCATTTATAAGCTATAAAAGAACAAAAACATAATTTTGAAGAACGGGCATAATCACATTTACCTCCATATAAGAGCAAAATTCCATATAACCGTTTTTGAAATTAAATCAGGTATAAACGGTGAGACCGATCAGAATTTGGACTTTGTTCTCATTCTCTATTCAATGTCAGAACATCCACAAAAATACAGTCATACCTCTTTTATATCCCGACTTTGGGGCAAGGAGTTTTCGGGGATATAAATGAGGTGGGATATAAATGAGGTATTCATTTAAAACTAAAACATGCAATTTTATTGGTTAATAAATTCGGTTAATGAAG